GCTGCGACACGAGGCCACAGTGGCTGCCCTGCGGCGCAAGCAGGCGGAGAGCGCAGCCGAGCTGGGCGAGCAGGTGGACAGTCTGCAGCGGGTGCGACAGAAGCTGGAAAAAGAAAAGAGTGAGCTCCGCATGGAGGTGGACGACCTGGGCACCAGTGTGGAGACTCTGGCCCGTGGCAAGGTGTCTGCCTTCTTCCTGACCCTGACCTCTGACCCCCTTCAGCATCCTCACCTGACCCCTAGGCTCTGATCCCATAGCTATCCTGACTCCAGACCAATGCTGCCTCCAACTGCTGAACCCTGACCACCCCTGACCCCACGCTAATCTTGACTCCAATAGATCCTGACCCCTGACCCATTCACCTGGCATCTAACCCCAATCCCACTACAGTCCTGACCTCAAACCCTGGCTCTGAAACTCAGTGTCTTGACTACAGGTCATTTTTGACCCAATGTCCATTTCTAACTTAGCCCTTGACCTGCGAACTCTGTCCTGAATCCAGCAACCAATCTTGACCCTTGACCTTTGTACCACCTAATCCTGACAGCTGGACTCTGTCCCTACCTGACTTCAGACTCTAGTATCCCAACTTCATCCTGACCCACTGGCCTCAGGACTAGTCTAGTCTTCTCACTTTAAAAATGTTTTTTATTGATTGATTTTTAGAGAGGAAGGGGGGGGTGGGGAGAAACATTGATTTATTGTTCCACTTATCTATGCATTATTCTGGAGATTGAACCCACAACCTTGGTATATTGGGATGATGCTCTGAGCTACCCAGCCAGGGCTACCTTCTCACTTCTGATGTCCATCTTTTAAGCAATAGTGGAATCTGTCTGAACTTGGGGCCCTGTTCTTTGATTCCTGGGCCCATGTCTAGCCTTCTAGTTCCCCATCCCAGGTCCCTGTCTGATTGGCAGTCGTAGATCCTGTCCTCTGATTCACAAACTTGTCCTGACCTCTGACCCTGGGTCTCAGGCCAGTGCAGAGAAGTTGTGCCGGACCTATGAGGATCAGCTGAGTGAGACCAAGATCAAGGTGGAGGAGCTGCAACGGCAGCTGGCGGACACGAGCACCCAGCGTGGACGGCTGCAGACGGAGAACGGTGAGGTCAGGGGCTCAGATGGGCCATCCCGGGGCCTCAGTGCTGCCCCTTGCCAGCCTGACGTGCTGCTTCACCCCTTGGCTGCAGGGGAGCTGAGCCGCCTGCTCGAGGAGAAGGAGTCTCTGATTAGCCAGCTGAGCCGTGGGAAGGCCTCGGCCACCCAGAGCTTGGAGGAACTGCGGAGGCAGCTGGAGGAGGAGAGCAAGGTGGGCTTGGCCACTGGCTGGCACAGAGAGGGCAGTGTGGGCATCAGGGCCTTTGGCCAGGCCTGACACTTAGGTCACTGGGGTCCCTGCAGGCCAAGAATGCGCTGGCCCACGCCGTGCAAGCTTTGCGGCACGACTGTGACCTCCTGCGAGAGCAGCATGAGGAGGAGGCCGAGGCACAGGCCGAGTTGCAGCGGCTGCTGTCCAAGGCCAACGCGGAGGTGGCCCAGTGGAGGAGCAAGTATGAGGCAGATGCCATCCAGAGGACCGAGGAGCTGGAGGAGGCCAAGTAAGTGCCTTGCTGGCCAGGCCATCACCACACAGGTGATCCGTGCCTCTGAGCCCTGATGGGAGAGGTGAGCTGTGGGGGCCATGCTTCTGTCAGCCTTGCTCTGCTACACAGTCCATACCCTGTCTGCTCTGGGGCCTAGAAAGAAGCTGGCCCTGAGGCTGCAGGAGGCAGAGGAGGGTGTAGAGGCCGCACACGCCAAGTGCTCATCACTGGAGAAGGCCAAGCTACGGCTGCAGACGGAGTCAGAGGATGTGACCCTGGAACTGGAGCGGGCAACCTCAGCAGCTGCCGCGCTGGACAAGAAGCAGCGGCACTTGGAGCGGGCACTGGAGGAGCGGCGGCGGCAGGAGGAGGAGACGCAACGGGAGCTAGAGGCAGCCCAGAGGGAGGCTCGCAGCCTGGGCACCGAGCTCTTCCGGCTGCGGCACAGCCACGAGGAGGCTCTCGAGGCCCTGGAGACCTTCAAGCGGGAGAACAAGAACCTACAGGGTACGACCAGCCCAGGGCCAGAGAACTGCTCGGGGGTCACGGGGCGTCCCTGGAGTCACACAGGGTGTCCCAGAGCAGTCACCCTGGAGCCAGGGGTGAAGGATGCGGCCTGGGTTGGAGCATGAGCTTTGAGGTGGCCCCTCAGTGCCCTGTCCACTTTGCAGAGGAGATCAGTGACCTCACAGATCATGTCAGCCTCAGTGGGAAGAGCATCCAGGAACTGGAGAAAGCCAAAAAGGCGCTGGAAGGGGAGAAGAGTGAGCTCCAGGCCGCACTGGAGGAGGCCGAGGTCAGGGGCTGGCCACAGGGGTGGGGTGGATACTGACCCACTGCTTCCCTGGCCTCCCTCCTCCCTTAAGACACACTCAGGGCCCCAAGGCCCACACTGCCTACTCTGCACCCCAGGGGGCTCTGGAGCTGGAGGAGACCAAGACCCTGCGGATCCAGCTGGAGCTATCCCAGGTCAAGGCGGAAGTGGACCGGAAGCTGGCAGAGAAGGACGAGGAGTGCACTAACCTGAGGTATGGGGGCCAGGGCCATCCCTACCCACCACCACTCCCAGGGGTCCACCTGTCTTCTCAAGGATAATTGCCCCTCCCAGCCCAGCCACCTGAGTGGGAAAAGGGAAGGAAAGCAGTGTTTGCTGAGCCCCTGCTGTGCACACAGATCGGCAGGGACGGTAGTTTGTGCCTCGCACAAAGCTTTCTCAGGTCAGGACTATTGTCCAGTCTGGAGGTGAACCTCAGAGAGCCTATAGGACTTGCTCAAGGGACACAGTCAGGGTGGAGCCAGAGTTCAGCCAACATCTGTCTGCTCCAGAGCCTCACTCTTGTTTGTGAACTTGCTCTGATGGGGAACAGGAAGTCACATGGGGCTTGAAATCAGGGAGGGATGTTCCTTATTCCCAAAATGGGTTCATGTCTCCAGCATTCCTACCTGCTTTCGAAGGCCAAGACACCCACTACCTTTTCCCTCCCCCAGACGCAACCACCAGCGGGCAGTGGAGTCCCTGCAGGCCTCCCTGGATGCAGAGACACGGGCCCGCAATGAGGCACTGCGGCTCAAGAAGAAGATGGAGGGTGACCTCAATGACCTGGAGCTGCAGCTGGGCCATGCCACCCGCCAGGCCACGGAGGCACAGGCAGCCACACGGCTGCTACAGGCCCAACTCAAAGAGGAGCAGGCGGGGAGGGATGAGGAGCAGCGGCTGGCAGCTGAGCTCCGGGAGCAGGCACAGGCCCTGGAGCGACGGGGTGTGCTGCTGGCTACGGAGCTGGAAGAGCTGCGGGCTGCATTGGAGCAGGGCGAGCGCAGCCGGCGGCTTGCAGAACAGGAGCTGCTGGAGGCCACCGAGCGCCTCAACCTCCTGCATTCACAGGTGAGGGCAGCAATTCACAGGGATGCGCAGGGTGGCTGCCTACTGGCCGACTCTGAGGCTCTGCTCCCCCCCAGAACACTGGCCTCCTGAACCAGAAAAAGAAGCTGGAGGTGGACTTGGCCCAGCTGAGCGGAGAGGTGGAGGAGGCTGCCCAGGAGAGGCGGGAAGCTGAGGAGAAGGCCAAAAAGGCCATCACTGACGTGAGGCTGGGCCGGAGCTGTGGAGGGGACAGAGCCCAAAGGGACTTCCACTGGGGCCAGTCACCCCGACCATCCATCTCACCCCGGACAGGCGGCCATGATGGCCGAGGAGCTGAAGAAGGAGCAGGACACAAGCGCACACCTGGAACGGATGAAGAAGACACTGGAGCAGACGGTGCGGGAGCTACAGGCACGGCTCGAGGAGGCGGAACAAGCTGCCCTCCGAGGTGGGAAGAAGCAGGTGCAGAAGCTGGAGGCCAAGGTGCGCGTGGTGTCCCCATCCCTTCCCCGGCACAGTGGGCAGTGCGAGGGCAGGCTCAGGGCATCGGGCCCATCTGCTGCTCACAGGTGCGGGAGCTGGAGGCTGAGCTCGATGCCGAGCAGAAGAAGCATGCCGAGGCCCTCAAGGGGGTGCGGAAACATGAGCGCCGGGTCAAGGAGCTTGCGTACCAGGTGGGTGACAGGTCCACCTCTAAAGGGGCGGCCCAAAAGCTGGTCTGGTCCGGGCCAGACCTGAGTCCCTCCACATGCGCAGGCCGAGGAGGACAGGAAGAACCTGGCTCGCATGCAGGACCTGGTGGAAAAGCTGCAGAGCAAGGTCAAGAGCTACAAACGGCAATTTGAGGAGGCGGTGAGTGTACTGGGTCTGGACCCCGGGGGTCAGGTACTGCCGGGTCAGGACGCCTGTGGAACCCAACTTCAAAGCTGGCCCTAGGCAAGAGGCCAGCAGCTGTCAGCCCTACTCCACCTCTGGGACATGCCTTCCCAGTGTTGGCTTTGCGGGTAGGCAGGCTGCCTTCATGGGCAGTGACCTAGCTCGTGACCCTCCTGTCCCAGCAGGAAGTGTTTTTCACAGCTCTGACAAGAGATGAGACCCAGCTTTGTCTCTGAAGGGACCCCATGTGCTTTCCCCTTCTGGCCCAGGTCTGGCACATGGGTACCTGAAGAGGTGTCACAACCCCCTTCCTTCCTGCTGTGGGTGCTGGTGAGGGGGTTAGATGGAACATGGATAGTGGTGGTGGGTGCATAGTGGAAGACAAAGAGAAGCCAGACCCTTTCTGCGATGGGGTGGAACCAGACTGACCATCTCGGTTACCAAAGGGTGACCCAGCCTGCCTGTACCCCCAGGAGCAACAGGCAAACACTAACCTGGCCAAGTATCGCAAGGCCCAGCACGAGTTGGATGATGCGGAGGAGCGGGCAGACATAGCAGAAACCCAGGCCAACAAGCTGCGGGCACGGACTCGGGATGCCCTGGGCCCTAAGGTAAGGGGTAGCCTGGGGCACCACCTTGCCCTTTGCAAGGGGAGGGGGGCAGGTGGTATAGTTCACTGAGCCACCCTTTTCCCCCTCAGCACAAGGAATGATGCCTGCTGTCCGCCCCCTCACCTCTCTCTTCATCTGCTGAACCCTGAATAAACGCCTCATCTACAGCTCCAGCCTCAGGAGGGGAGGGGAGCACACGGTCCCACAGACAAAAGTCAGGTTCACATCAATCATTTAAAATAAAGTTCTTTAATAGTCTCCATTTAATCGGTTTATTTGTTGTTAATAAATTGGCAACACAAGGAGGGGCCAAGGCTCTGCTCCCAGGCAGGCTCCTATGTGTCTGGGCTCAGGTAGGAGATGCTGCCCTGGGGCATAAGGGGGCAGGACACAGCCACCCCATGTCCCAAGGGATGGAAGGGAAAGGTCCCTCACTTCTGGGGACACCCCTTGGGACGAACACAGTGGCCAAAGAGCACACAGAACCAGAGGAACTAAAGGAAAACGAGGGAGGGGCAGATGGGCAGGTTTGGGGGAAGGTAGCATTCTCTGGTATCCCCCACCCCTGCCCAGGGCTCAGAAGCCTGGGTCCAAAGGCCAGGGCAAGCTTGGCTCACAGATTGGGGGAGGGTCCCCATACCTCCCTCCCCAACCCAGGACTGATGGCCAAGAGACTGGGGAGGAGCTCAGACAGAACTATTTTTAAAAGTCCCCTTACCTCTGAGTGGGCCAGGGCCCCAAGTTTCTGAAGAAAGGGTGGGCATAGTGCCCCTGTCCTCATCATGGGGATCTTGAAGGAACTAAGGTTCCCCAATGACCTTGGGCCCTCAGACCCAAGGGCTTCTAGACACTCCCACCAAGCCTGTATCCGAAGACCTGGGGCAGGCAGAGAGCAGCAGGAAGGCAGGGGAGGGGTGGAGACATGGCAGGGCGTATGGCACTCATACCCACGCTCACCCGCACTGGCCCTGGCCCAGCAGCCTCCCAGGGACTGCCTGGCCCAAGGTCACTCCTCAGTGAAGTCCCTGTCTATGTCCATGTAGGGCTCCTCCATGTAGCTGACAAGGGCAGAGGGTGATTGGCGGTCTGGGTTCAACAGGATGGACACGGTCTCTTTCCAGTATGAGAAGCTGATGCAGGAGCTCTGGGCAAAGAGAGAGGGGCTGGGGGGTGCCTGGAGGACCCAGGTCGAGCCCAGCACCCCGTGGGGAGGGCCATGGTAAGGGGACAAAGAGCTGCCCACCACATGACCCAGGCAGGGACCACGCACCCCAAACAGCCCTCTGAGGGGCCCTGGGTCTGCGTGCCCACAGCCCACCCACCAGCCAGTTGGGTGGGGCACTCACGTTCTCCAGGCAGGTGCTGTCCTTGTCCTTGTGCAGGTAATGCTGCTGCCAGAAGCGCAGCAGGTTGTGGAAGTTGTTGAGCAGGAAGCCGGGATACTTCTTGTTGTGCTCCATCCGCTGAAGCAGCCGCAGGTACAGGGGCAGTCGCTCTTTCCGTCGGGCCAGCATCAGGATCACCAGGCTGGTGTTGAGGCAACTGACGTTCTCCTGCAAGGCCCCAGCAGCCCCTGGTGGACCTGGGTTGCTACTGGCCAGGGAAGGCGGTGGCCCAAGCCAGACCCTGCAGAACCCTGAGACCACACTGAGCTGCCCCCGCATAAACCTGAGGGAGGGCTGGGGCAAGGAGTGATGCCAGCATCCCGCCCTGAGCACCTTCCTGGTCCCTGCTCCCCGCCCCCCCCGCCACCCCCCACCCTCTGAAGGAACACCATCCATCATCTGTCTAGTTAGAGTCTTCCCTGTCTCCTCAATCAGCTCAGGCATTGCTTCTTCCAGAAGCTTCAATCCCTGGGGAGGGCTGGGCATACACCTTAGATGCAGCATTTCCTTTGCTAACTTTCATTTGGCACTAGACTGAGCACCAGGAGGGAAAAGTCTAGGCCTATTTTGTTCACTTTGCATCCTGAGCCCAGGGCCTTGCCTCAATAAATGTCAGATGAAGGAATAAAAGATCCACCTCTGAGAGGTATTAGTATGACCCCATTTTAGAGAAGGGGCATGAAGCCCAGACTGAGGACTGCACAGCTGAGGGAAGTGGGAGTTAACGTCAGGTCCAAGCCCAAAGCCTGCACAGCAGGTGGGGTGGGGCGAGCACTGAACTAGGAGTCAGAACTAAGTGTCAACCCTGACTCCTCCCCAACTCGTCTGTGATCTCAGAGATTTGCTCCCTCTTCAGGCCTCATCTGTAAAATGGGGCAGATTCCTTATTGGAAAAAAAATCCTCAGAATCCCTGGGAGGAACTGAGATGGGCCTCAGGGAGGTGCACTCCTCGTGTGGGAGAGAGCAGCTCTGCTGGGCTCCGGGACTCTTCCTGCATCGCACGCCTGCAGGGCCTCTCACCTGTGTCAGCGTCTGCACGTGGATGATGTTGATGAGGCGGAAGAGGAAGGACATCTGCGTGGGCACCTGGGATATGTAGGCGAGCAGGCGGCACTCGGACAGGACCTCGGCAACTGGGGACGGAGAGGCAGAGGTGTGAGCAGCAGGCTTGGACGCTGGTCCGTGGCTCAGGCCGGGACTGCCATCTAAGCCACTAGTCAAGCCCTATGGGACCTGACTCTGAAGCTGGGAGCCCCTACTGTCAAGACAACGAACGAAAAGGTTGACTGCAGCAGGAACAATCTCCCGTTCTTCTGCCACCCAGTAAGCCTGTGGTCTCACTAGAGCCCCACATGGGAGCTCAGCCCCTCTCCCTTCAGTCGTGTTCAGGGACCACCTCTCCCCAGGCCTTCCCCCTGGTGTCACCACCTGGGTCCCCTCATCCCAGGCAATCGCAGCCCAGGAGAGGAGGACTGTGTGTGCTGCTGGCGGCAACAATGTTTCTCTCCTTATTACAGTGTTGTACGTGCTCAGGAAAGGAAGCAGGAACCATAGAGGAGAGTAAAAGCAGCAAAGAAAACCGCCCGGAGAGCCACCACCGTGACCCCAGCCACGAGAATGTCTGGTGGGGCTTCTTCCAGCCTTCCTTGTCTCCTTGCTGAAAGCTGGGTGTCTGACACCAGCGAGGCCACACTGGATGCATTCGCACTGGTGTTCTGGCCTCTTCTTACCTTTCACGTCCACCTGATTCTCAAATCGGTCCAGTGACAAAGTGACGCAGCGCACCAGCATGTTGGAGTCCACCAGCGAGCTGTTGATCTGCTTCAGGAACACCTGGAACTTGGTGGGGAGACACGGCTCAGACGGGAGATGGCAGGCGCCTGCAGTGGTGGAGTCACCGCAAGGGCACTGACCTACCTCTGCCCAGTTGTCGCCAGTAAACAGAGGCGCAGACAAGCTGACTGACCTGCCCCAGCAGGGCTACCCCAGATCTTTTGACACCACGTCCAGTGTTTTCTCCACTGAAGGAAGGATGCCAAACTCCTCATTTTTACTTCATTAGTCTGAACTGGGTTTCTGTCACACACACCCTCTGAGCCTAACACACCAGGCCCAGCCCATCTATCTGGAGCTCACCATGGCACCCACCACACTGAGCCGTTTTCACAGCCCACCTGCTCCCAACCATCACACCTGCTCACAAGCAGCTGACACTTTAATGCCCAGCACAAAGATGCTAATGACTGCCTGCTCAAGGCTGTCCATTGACGCCCTAATACCAGTAGTCTCCAATTTAAAACCAGTACCAGAGACTGGTGAGGACAAGGGCTCCAAGGTAACTTCTGAACAATAGAGCAAACCCCACAGCGCCCTGTTAGTCTTTTTTTTTTTTTTTAATATATTTTTATTGATTTTTTTACAGAGAGGAAAGGAGAGGGATAGAGAGTGAGAAACATCGATGAGAGAGAAACATCCATCAGCTGCCTCCTGCACACCCCCTATTGGGGATGTGCCCGCAACCAAGGTACATGCCCTTGACCGGAATCGAACCTGGGACCCTTCAGTCCGAAGGCCGACGCTCTATCCACTGAGCCAAACCGGCTAGGGCATGTTAGTCTTACCTTTGCATCAGTGTTGATGTACTTATTGAATCTCTTGAATGCATCAACATTGAACTTCATTAGCTCCCCCAGGAGGTCAAAGTAGCTCTGCAGCACATCCCTGGACTTGCACTCGCTGTCCACGATGCAGTACAAGATGTGCTGGGGGTGGGGAATGACAGATGAAGGCAGGAAGGCAGCTGAGCTCTGGGGCCCACAGGCAGGTGTGGCTGCCACCCTCAGGCCGCATTCTTCTAAGCTACCAGCTTCCCACCAGGGCCTGGCATGTAGCTCAGACCACACAACATCTGCTTTGAGAAAGCATCCAGGTCAATGAAACCTGCTTTCCCTATCTCGATGCTTATCTGAGGATGCTGGTGGCTCTGAGGGCAGGACCAGGACCGACACCTCCCAGGAAGTGGGGGTGGGTTGGGGTATGTAGCCACGACCTCTCTGGCTTGCCCACGGCTCAGAACTAAAGCCTGTGACCTGCTCTGTGGGCACCAAGATGGCCAGGGCTCTCGAGCTTGCCAGCGAGGGGAGGTGTCTCCAGATGTAACATTGGCCACTGCCCAAGCACCTGAGGCCACTCAAATAAATGAAGCACAGGAGGCACATTTTGACCCCATGGTTAGTATTTATGTTTATGAATGAAAACATTTACATTAAAATAAATGAGTTTATCAAGAACAAAAAGCCAATTTATCTCTTTGATAAGGTTCTCTATGGCAGTTAAGTTGTTTCCATTTTTCATTTTCTTTTTCCTGAAGTTACACTGATTTGGATAAATTATTTTCCATATAGATTTTACAATAATTGCTAGGTCAGTTTCTTGTTCCTATATCTTTTTAAAATCAATTATAGTTTTGGCCATTTTGCTCCCCCTCTTCTGTAAGCTTTTTCTGAAGGCCATTTTTCAATAAAGGGAAATAAACTTTTAGTCAGCAGCAACATATCCTCAGGGTCAAAAGGCCTTGCTGGGTGACTCTACAGGTACTTATGCTCCTCCACAGCCACCCCTAGGTCCTTCAATCATCCGGGAAGCACCCATTGGGAACCCACGGTTGGAGACTCAGGTCACATACTAAGGCATCTGCACTGGCGTTTAAAATAGATCCAGTATCTCCTGCCCAGCTTTCTAGGTCTCAGGACAGGAAAGCAATGCATGGGGCTGGGGAAAGATTGGGACACCCAACACCCTGGCTCCTCCAGGCCATTACCTCCAGAAGGCCTCGCTTCAGCAGGAACATCTGGTCTGCATAGGAGGTGGTCCCTCGGA